CTATTCAGATCCTTTGCCCACCTTTCAATTATTTATCTTTTTATTACTGACTTGTAATATTTACTTATATGTGAGGAAACTTCAAGGTTCATGTAAAAATTCCATTATCTTTTAATTCAACGTTTCTCTGAACTTTTTGAAGCCCTCTCTTATTTTGAAAAGAAAGCCCTTAATCTAATGTATGATCTATAAACATTGTGTCTCTCTGTGTCTTTCCATTTTTCTCTATGGTATCATTTGCAGCACAAAAGTTAAAAATTTTTTTAAAAAAATCCAATCATCAATATTTTTCCTTTATTGCTTGTGCTTTTGGTGTTGTATCTAAGAAGTCTGCCTAACCCAGTCATCAAAATGAATTCCTATGTTTTCCTGTTCTAGTGTTCCTATGCTTTGGTATTACAGCCAGAGTTATGACCTATTTTGAGTTAATTCTGTATGTGGTGTGAGGTAAGGGTCTAGTTTCAGTTGCATGTGGATAGACCGATTGTCCCAGTCCTATTTGTCGAAGACTGTTCTTTTCTCCCATTGAATTGTCTTGGTACTCTTGTGTTACAAATTAAAAAAAAAAAATTGACCATAAATTTAAGAATTTCTAGACTCTCAATGTGGTTCCATTGATTTATCTATATGTTTAATCTTATGCCAGTACCACGTTGTATTGATAATTGTAGTTTATAGTCTCTTGTCCTTTGATGGCTACGTAATTGCGGCAGTCTCCCAAGTTAGGGCAGGAATGGACAATCTAGACTTTTTCTTTTCTGATCTGACAAGCTTACAACCATACTTTATTTATCTTCTTCTCATCTTTAAATGCTGCATCCTCTTATTGGTTTTGGTAGAAGATGGTATCCAGGTAGTCATGTGAAATCCCAGATGCCTGGCTCCTAGTTTTCTTTGGGCAAAGCCAGCTACCCTCACGCGAACTCTGGTTTCTAAAATCTCTAGTTGTTAACTTCAGAGAAACACAGCTTACTCTACCTATAGTTAGAAGATTTCAAGCTCTTTCCAAATGCTATGCGAGCAATCAAGCGATTTCAGCAGATAGCCCTCCTCAGGGAACTCCATAGCTGCCAAGGCCAACCCTTGCCTGCCTCGGGCCTCCTTTCCTCTGGGCACCTCTGTGGCATTGTTTCGTGGGCACCAGGGGTGCTGTGGGTTCTGTTCCCTGTGTAGGTGATCCATCCTGGTGGGGTGCTGGTTGTTAGCTGCCGCCAAGCTGACTCCCAGCTTGTGATGACCCCACACACTGTGGAATGAAATATGCTGCCCAGTCCTGGACATCCCAATGACCGGTTGTGGCTCAGACTGTTGTAACCCATAAGGATACTCATGGATTGAGGTTGGGGAATAGATTGCCGGGCCTTTCTTACTAGTCCATTGTGGTCTAGACACTTGACTGATAACTTCTCAGCATCTTGGAAATGCACAAAGTTCTACTAACAGACAGGTAGTGGCTGGGCTTTGAACCTATGTCTCCTACATGGAAGATGAGACTTCTGGCATCCAACCACCCGTCTCAAGTTGGTATTTTTCTAGTCACGATGACATGGAACCTTGAGTAAAGCCACTTAGAATTACTTCAAGCTCCTAAGCCAAAATGATCTCAGGAGGCCACAATAAATAACAACCCTGTAAAGGCTGCCATTTCTTACCCATGTGAATACGGGCAGAACAAGATCTTTCTTAGATGCCAGTACCTGGAGCTTGCCCTGTGAACTCTGCTACGATGGAAGCCTGTTTTGTATCGGAATTTTAAAGTTTGTAAACAAAGCTTGTTAAAGGCAACATCTGATAGAGGGCGGGGAAGGAAATGCATTTGAAGGCAGCGGTTAACAGAAAGGGCTAGGGATCCAGTCTGCCTGAATCCAGTCCCTCTTTGGGATCTTGGACAAGTCTCTTAGTCCACCTAAGCCTCCATTTTCTCATCTGTGAGACAGATGATAGGAACAGCACCACCTGCCAGAGTTGTTGAAGGACTGAAACTGCTCATAAAGGACTCAGCGTAAGGGCTGGCCAAACCTTTTCCGTGAAGGACATGCTAGGGAATGTTTTAGCCTTTGTGGCCATATGATCTCAGTCACAACTGGACTCTGCCCTTGTGTCTTGAATGCAGCCTTGGACACTATGTAAATGAGTGGGCATGGTGTGTTACCATAACACTGATTTCCAAAAACCAGTGGCAGGCTGGATTTGGCTGGCAGGTTGGATTTAGCCGTGGGCTGTCTTTTGACTTAACACAGTATCTGGCCACCCCGTCTCTTCTGACTCACAAAGATGCCACAGGACACCTCCGAAAGCCTCCTCTTTCTACAAAGGGCCCAGCTGTCAGATTTCAACTGCTGACCCTAAGGCCAGCAGCCCGATGCTTAACTAACTGTGCCACCAAGGTTCTGGACGCGGAGTGGATTTAAAATAAATGCGAGGCATCCTTGCGCTTGGGGGGGCTGCCCCTTGCACGGGTACCCATGCTTTCCCAATGCTTGTGCTTAACAGAATGTGGAGGTCCTCGCCAGTCGGAGCAGCCCCTCAGCGCACCAGCAGGTCGGGGCTGCAGTGCAGGAGGAGAACGAGAGGCTGCGGGCAAGAGTTGGGGAGCTGGAGCAGAGCGTCACCCAGCTTCAGAAGCAGCTCAGTGACCTGGAAGGCGAGGAAGCCAAAGCGAAGGAGACGCTCAGGAAGTGCGAGGTGAGGCCCACGGGCCCCAGCGCGGCTTGGCATCTCTTCATCATCCCGCTCCTGGATGAGTGGCGGGAGAGTGGGAAGGGATTTACGTATTCCCATAATGTAGTCAGAAAGGTCAGTGTGATTGTGGACCATGTCTGCTGGCTGTTCCTTTGTTCCTCACTGAGTGGTGTGAGTGAGAGGTACATTTCTAAGGAGGCCTGGGGACAGGGCTGATGAGACCAGAAATCCCTACTCTGCCCAGACCAGGCTTGGGCTTCAGCAGCCTTCTGGAGCATGGGCCTGCAGGTGTCGAACAGAAGGTACAAGCACCTGTAGCGACCACCCACACCACACCAGGCCCATGGCCACCCAAGACTCTCTCTTCTTTTTAAACACATGGTGGGTAGTCTCTGAAGTTTGTGCGTTGTTTCCCCCTCTCCCCCCATATCAATGATTTGGTTTGGAGAGACCTCTGGAAGCAAGAGGCACACGCCAATGGCAGTGAGAAATGGCAGCTGGCAGTGACTCACTCACTACCATCCAGTGGATGCCGACTCATAGGGACCCTGTAGGACAGGGTAGACCTGCCCCTGTGAGTTTTCCACACTCTTTGGGAGTAGAAACCCCTATTCTCCCGTGGAGCGGCGAGTGGTTTTGAACTGCTATCCTTTCTGATTGAAGCATAATTGCTGCACCACCGAGGACCAAAGGTAAAAAGGGTGATGTGCAGCGGAGGTTACTGAGCACCATCACCTGGCAGATTCACCAGCAGCCTGTTTTGCCACTATACACAGCAAGTGGCCCATTCACTATTCTAGTCTCCTGGGGTGAGACCAGATATCTGTGTCTTGCAAAAGTGGCTGGATGCTAACCCTTGGCTGAGACTGGAACTGCAGACAGGCGAGCCACCAGCCAGGCGCATGGCTGGGGTGCAGCATTGAGACTGCAGCCCTGGCTGCGTCTGTGGTGCCGCCTGTGCGCATTTTTCTCACAGGTGGGGCACACACGAGCACCCACTGATAGTCCGCTGTTGCTGCCTTGTAGGGAGAAAGGCGGCAGTTAGAGGAGGCCCTCATGCACTCCAGAAAGGAAGAAAAAGAAGCCTCCACAGCTCACAGGAGCCTGGCAGGTGACCTACAGGATGCTCAGGTAAGCCTCCCAGGCTGTGCCTTTTACTCCTTCTCCAAGGAATTTCAGAGAATCAGATTCATAGGAACTTTCCCCAGAAAGTTCCTCTGCTCCTGCTAGCTCCCTTTGACGTTTGGATTACCATATAGACCCCTGGGTCTCTGTCTCTGCAGGGGTGAGTTTGCGCCCACTTCTACCACCACTTCCCCCGGAGATGCTGGGCGGGGCAAATGGTTAACATACTCAGTTGATAGTCAGCCGGAAGTTCAGTCCATCTAGAGCAGCGATTCTCAACCTGTGGGTTGTGACCCCTTTGGGGATCGAATGATCCTTTCATAGGGGTCACCAGATTGAGTATCAAAATTACAGGAAGTAGCGACGAAAATAATTTTATGGTTGGGGGATTGTTAGGTAGGCCAGCATAGGACTGGGGGATGTCCGGAGGAAGTGTATGAAAGAGTCGTGGCATTAGGAAGGTTGAGAACCACTGACCTAGAGTCACCTTGTAAGAAAAGCCCGATAAAAAACCAGCAACAATAAAAGAAAGAAAAGCCTGATCAACCACTTCCAAAAGATTAGCCAATGAAAACCCACGGAACACAATTCTACTTTTGACACACATGAGGTTATCTTGAGTCAGAATCTGATAACTGCTGTTTTAGGGGACATAGTTGAAAACTTGTCATTTTTTTTACTGCAACCCACTAAGTTGGGGCTGCTACTGGTATTCAGTGGGGAGAAGCCAGAGATTCTGCTAAATAGGCTACTATGAACAGGGCAGCCCCCC